GCTTGAGCCCAGGAGTTTGAGGTTGCTGTGAGCTAGGCTGACGCCACGCGGCACTCGCTCTAGCCCAGGCAACAAAAGCAAGACTCTGTCTCAAAAAAAAAAAAAAAAAAAAGAAAAAGAAAAAACAATATAGCTATTTGAGTTATTTTCTTAAATTTAAAGTGTGTAAATTTTTAGGTGCAAAAATAAGTCTAATTAGCGCAGAAGAAAAAATCAGTTACTTTTTGTTTCATCAACACAAAGGGATTTTTTTAACACATGATTTTTCAAAAATCCAAATAGTACAAACGGGACTATAAAAAGAAGTACATCCACCCCCAGCCGTGCTCCTGGTTCTCAGTTGTTTTCCTCAGAGGCTCGATGTTTCCAGTTAATAGTGACTCTCCTCAGAAATATTCTATGCATATACAAAATATGCATATACATCCAAAGCGGTTTTAGAATATTTTTATAATCATCTATAGATACTTTTTAACAATTACCTATCAACTGTAGTAAGCACAGTGATACTTTCTTTCTGCAAATGAACCAATTTACATGGCTTGATGTAGGGAGCGCCCAAAGAGGCGGATGAAGATGATGGTGAGCGGTATATGTCCCAGACGACCAGCTTCCCTTCCATCGTGGCTGAGAGTATTTGTGTCAAATTCAAGTGAAAGACGGACTGGCTAAATTTTCCCACGAGCTTGTTGAAGGTCTGTGTTTCAAAAGACAGGTTATGAGTTACGGTTGGTAATAAATATAAAACAAAGCACTGATCAACATGACATTTTATAATATTATGCTGAAATACACCGAGAAAAAGAGAAAGAAAAAAAAAACACTAACTAAAAACCATCTCCCATGGATTGTCATATGGTCCAGGCAGTTCTGAACCTCTGAAGGTTCGCTAAGAGCAAGTGAAGGGTTATGTACTGTGTTCAATTAAACTGTTTGTTTAAAGCAAGTGAAAGAGTAGATAATCACTGTTATACCTGTTAAACTTCTCTTACGGAGGTTTCAGAGACTGATAAAGAAACGGATTATCTGTTGTGAGCAAAAAGCATACTCTGGTTGTAAAATATCATAAAATAATTCTCGCAGTCTCCTTTGATCATAAGGTGTTTTCCCATCAGTAGAAATTATGTAAGCACTGTACACAGAAATGCCCTAAGTAAGACTCCCTATTAAATTTGTGCTATCTGAAATAAGGCACGAGGCCATCTTTCTTAGTGTCTTAGAGATGAAGTATCAAAAGAACCCAGAGCAGTGATAAAGCCCCTTTGTCATAGAATACAACAAGTCTGCTGCCCAATTCTCTAATTATGCAGAGGACATCCTAGGGTTTACCTCTTCTGACCTGAACATAAGAGGAACAGTAAAATAATTGGTCAAGCAAGAGCATCAAGTTCTTTCTAAGAGCAGCAATGTTTCAATACGAGGCATTTTTATCATTTCAACTTGCAGTCAATGCTCATTATTTGTGGATTCTGTATTTTTGAATTCACCTACTTGCTAGAATTTATTCATAACCCTCCCAATCAATACTCATAGCACTTTCATGGTCATTTGCAGGTTTTCATGTACAGAGTGGCAAAAAATTTGACTCATCCAACATGAACATTCCCAGTTGAGGTCAAACAAGGCAATGCTCTGCCTTCTTGTTTCAGCTCTCATATTGTAAACAAGTATCCTTTTGTGGTCAATAACCATGTTGTTTGCATTTTTGGGGTGCTTTTTCTTGGCGATTTCAGGACTTATATTGGTCCCCAAACATAGTGCTAAACTGCTGTCTAGTGTTCCTAAGCAAAAGAAGGCTGTGATGTGCCTTATTACAAAAATATATATGTTAGATGACCTTCGTTCAGGCATGAGTTATAGCGCTGCTAGCTGTGAGTTCAACATTAATGAATCAATGATATATATTAAATATGGTGTCTCTAAACAGAAAATACACATAAAACAAGGTTAGGTATTGATCAGTTGGTGAAAATGTGATCAGAAGCTCACAGGAACCTAATCCTGCATTTGCCCTAGAAGCAATGGTTCAGTATTTTCTAATTCAGTGTTTGCAGAGACTTTATAGAGCATAACTATATAATAACGAGAATCGACTATAGTTTTTGGTACTTTAATTTCTGAAAAACAAAGTTTGCAGACAGAATAATCTTTCCTTGTGTCTATCCATCTCATCTTTTTTTTTCCTTTTAGTATGCCCTCTTAAAAAATTCCTACAAATCATACCAAGAGAGAAGAAAAGAAGCAGAAAAATTGTCATAAAGTGCTCACTGAGGGCAGAGTACATGGGTATCAAATGCAGAAAATGCTACCGGAGACAGAACTCGAGTTCCACTTCAGACATAATAGCTTAAGGTAAGCAGGAAAGATAAAAATGTTCTCTCAACATCTGGTTCACCACCTTCCTGCTGACTTTTAAATATGTAAATACCCAATATCATTGTTTATTATTCTGAAACTGTGCAGCTTTATAAGGGATCCACTCACGTTCAGTTACTCTACTTACACCACTTCAGATTAACTTTTGTTCTTTGTTACTATGTACATATGCATTATAAAAGCCATCATATCTTTTTCTCAGTAATTTTTTTCTCCATAACATTTTATTTTTAGTGATATTTTCATTATTTTCAACTGACAATTCAGTATGGATAAAGGGCCCAAGTAAAATCTTTCAAATTATTTCCCAATGGTTTAACATCAAGATATACAAAGAACAGCCTAAAGCAACTAAGCCTGCACATATGTATTTATTCTCCACAAAATGCGATGTCTAAAAATGCAGCAGGCATACTCACTTTTTCGGTTAAAATTGGGGCACTATGAGCAAGCGTCTCTCTCTCTTCATTCTGATGAGTACAGAAAAAATAATCACTACTAAAAAAAGACCTTGTTTCCAAAAGAAGAACTATGTAATAACAAAATCAAAACAAATACATCTAAACAGGTCAGAAACTTGCAATTTCTACAGGTTAAGAGAACTTGTTGCCTCAGGGAACATCTAAAAACATTCTGAAAGAAAAGTAAATACATAAAAAACACCACAAATGATTGTGACTTTACATGGCAGTTAATGCAAATTTGAATTACACATTAATAAGGCTTTAGAACTGTAATAAATACCTGAAGTAATGAATATCACTGACAATCAGTGATTCAATGTATTTTTGTTTTTGCTTTGCAATTTTTTTATTAAGGTAAAATTCACTTAACATAAAATCAACCATTAATCAATTTTAAGTGCATAATTCAGTGGAATTTAATATAGTCACAATGCCTTACAACCACCATCTCTATCTAGTTCCCAGACATTTAGTTCCAAGACATTTTCATCACCCTGGAAGGAAACCCCCTGCCCACTGAGCAGTCACTTTCTATCCTCTGCTTTCCCCAACCCCTGACAACCACCAATGCACTCTCCGTTTCTGTGCATCTGCCTATTCTGGACATTCCATATAAATGGAATAATACAGTATGTGACTTTGTGTGTCTGGCTTCTTTCATTTAGCATAATGTTTTCAAGGCTCATCCGTGCCATGGCATGCATCAGTACTTTATATGATAATATGCCATTCTTTGGATACATCGTATTTGTTTACCTATTCATCAGCTGATAGACATTCGGCTTGTTTCTACCTTTTAGTTATTGCAAATAGTGTTGCTGCTATGAACATTTATGTAAAAGTATTTGTTTGAATGCCCGTTTTCAATTCTTTTAGGTATATACCTAGGAATTGCTGAGTTACATAGCAATTCTATGTTTGATTTCTTTTTTATTTCTTTTTAAAAATTTTTTTGTAGAGGTGGAGTTTTGTTATGTTGCCCAGGCTAGTTCAAACTCCTGGCCTCAAGCAATCCTCCCACCTTGACCTCCCAAAGCTCTGGGATTACAGGCATGAGCCACCGTGCCCGCCGAATTTCAGTGTTTTTTAATCTCATGATTTTGCCCTGTGGTGGTACATATGTCACTGATCTGTTTGCTAATTTCTTAGTTCTAACAAGGAATAAAGTCCAAGGTCTCAACAAATCCAATATATTAGACTTATTAAATATATACAAATAAATATTTGCCTCATTACTTTAATACAATTAAATTATCTGCTCCTGATTTAATATGCTAATTTCCAATGGGACTAAAATAAATACTATAATTAAATCAAAACATTTTCATATACATTCATTGCTTTCTAAGTAGAGATACTATATTGTTACATTATTAAAACATTTGTACTCAAAGAATGAACATATACTTGTACCCACATTTAAAACAAATCAAAACATTTCTACTTACCCATGAATAATATATTGCCTGTGTTTTACTATTGCTCACCAATTCTTTATTATTTGTTGGATTAAAAGTAAGGTATTTCTGAAATATAAAGTATAGAAATGTATTAATGATAATAAATTTTCTGTCTTTCTCTGGTTAAGCCGAATGTTAGAATTAAATAATAATTTTAATTAAAATAAATGAGTAGGAATATAAAACAGAAAAGACATGGTATTTGGTAAGCAATAGGAATATCATTTAAATACTGGTTATTTAAATAAATAGTGTCAAAGGTGTTCCCTTTCTAGACTTATTTATTATAATTCATCATCTATAAATTGGAACAAGCAAAAGTAAACCAGTATTCATCAATAACCATTATTCTGTGTCCTTTTGGACAAAGACGGCTGCATACGCATTTCTAAATTTGACAGGGCCACATGATATCTTGGAATGAATGCAAGATATTGGAAGAAGTTTCTGATTCCTGCCAAGATGGTGAATAGCATGAGTTGTTGGCTTCCTTCCTAAAAATCAACCCTGCAGAAACCATGGAAATGGGGGAAACGCTAAATACAGAAACAAAACAATAAGAGCAACAACAACAAAGCGAGATATTCCAGACTCGAGATACTCGTGGGGAACCATAGGCATGTGTCTTGAAATGTGTGTGAGAGGTGGGTGGCTGCAGCCTGAGGCAACAGTCTGCAGGAGGCAGTGTTGAGGGACAGACTGAAGAAAAGTTTTTTCAGTTCTATTCCTACTGCTTCCATCCCATCTCCACACCTATTCCTAACCCGTCACTTGCTGCATCACTGCAGGAATATAAACTACCACTGCCAGTGCCCACGAATTAATATCAGGACAGCACAAAAGCCTGGGTGGGATGAAGAACAGACAAAGCAAAGTTTATGGACCAGACCTCACAAAGACCTCCAGCCAGGGTGAAAGAATGAGACTCTGTCTCAAAAAAAAATTTTAAAGAGATCAAATATTTCTTGCAGGAAAAAAAGTGAAGGAAGATGAGGAAGTAGAGAAAGCAAGTGGAGACAACCCCTCTGAGCAGTTTCCCTGTGAAGACAAGCAGAGGGCAGAGATGTGGGGTCAAAAGGAGCTCTTTAAAGACAGGTGACACGAAAGCATGTTTCTGTGCTGATGGGAATAATGACCCAGAGAGGGAGAGGTGACAGCTGCAGGGGAGGGCCCTGAGTAAGTGAGAGGGGAGTCAGAAACTAAAGAAGACATAAATAAATAGCAAGATATCCTGTGCACTGGCCCATCATGGCAATCAGAGGGAAAAAAGAGAAGACAGTGAGGTTGGAAGTAGGTTGCGGGCTTGGGAGTGAGAACGGGCCAGTGTTTGTATCTGATGGCTACCGTTTTCCCAATGACATATGAGAGCCGGTCATCAGCTAGGTGAGGGGAAGGGCTGAGTGGTGAGGAGGTGGGAATTGTCATCCTTGGAGACAGAGAGAACCCAGTAGACAGGTAGGCAGTGCTGAGAGCCCTTTTGAACTTTATGACTGGATTCAAGGTCAAATGAATCAGCTCAGTTGGGTGGGTCTCTTAAGCTGTACCCAGCTATGGCTATGGGTACAGAGAAGGCTGATGGTAGAGTTTATCCAGAGTTTGGGTGCTTTTGTAGCACTGTCTAATAGGACTTTCTGTGATGATGGAAATGTTCTATAATTTCTGCTGTCAAATACAGTAGCCAACAGCCACATGTGGCTAATGAGTACTTGAAATGTGGCCAGTGAAACTGAGGAACCCAATTTGTAATTTAATTTCATTTTAATCAATTTAAATTTAAATAGTCACATGTATTTGGCAAAGTTGCAGGATACAAAATCAACACACAAAAATCAGCTGTGGCCTGGCACAGTGGCTCACACCTATAATCACAGCACTTTGGGAGGTCAAGGCAAGAGGACTGTTTGAGACCAGGAGTTCAAGATCAGCCTGGGCAACATAGCGAGACTCCATCTCTACAAAGTATAGTAAAAAAAAAAATTAGTTAGGCATGGTGGTGTGCACCTGTAGAGGCTGAGACAGGAGGATCCCTTGAGCCCAGGAGTTCAATCTATGATCTATGATTGGGCCACTGCACTCCAGCCTGGGTGACAGAGTGAGACCCTATCTCTTAAAAAAAGAAAAATCAGCTGCCTTTCTATATACTAGCAATGAGCAATCTGAATAGGAAATTAAGAAAACAATTCCATTAACAATAGCATCAAAAAAAAAACCAAAATACTTAGGAATAAATTTAACCAAGGAAGTGAGAGATATGTACATAGGCAATTACAAAATACTGCTGAAGGCAATTAAAGATGACACAAATAAATAGCAAGATATGCTGTGCTCATGAACTGGAAGGCAACACTGTGAAGATGACTGATCTACAGATTCAGTGCAATCTCTACCAAAATCCCAAAGGAGTTTTTTGCAGCAATAGGAAAGATCCATCCTAAGTGGCCATGTTGTTGGTGGCTACTATATTAGCACAACGTCAAGAAGAAAAGGTTTTTCAGAGGCAGGAGGAATGTTGGGGGGAAAGGAGAGAAGATGGGTATAAGGATGCATCTAGTTACCCAAACCCTCTGTTGGGGACTTAGATCCTGCAAGCCAGGTGCGTACTTATCACAGTGCCTGGCACAGAGCAGGGACTCAACACATGTACAGTGAAAGAAGGGTGCGAGGATGAAGAAGACAATGTACAACAGCAGAGAACAGTGATGCAGGATGTCAAGAGACCTGATGCAAACTTTCTGGGTGTCCTTGGCAAGTCACCTCATGTAAATCGAGAGTAATAATAATAACTTCTTTATATAGCTCACGAGTCAGCTACAAGGTTAGAAGCAGGTAAGAGCGTGCTGCTTGAATATGAAAGGCTGCTAGCTGGGTGACTTTAGACAAATTATTTAATAATTGATAATAGTATTCCACAGATATTAATATCTTCTTCCTAGCATATTTGCATGGATTGTGTGAGATAATGTAAGTAAAGAATTTAGCAGAATCTGGCACATAATAAGTGCTTGAAAAATATTAGCTATTATTATCAAAGATAAAATGAGATTAGGGATATGAAAGTGTTTTTAAAAAGCTCTGCTGCACCATAATAAAACTCTACTAAAACAAAAAGTACGTTTTGACCTGGCGTCAGTGTAACTTTACATTCCTGTTTACAGGCTCAAATTGAACGCACCTGAAAACCATATTCTTTGGGTAGTTGGAGAGTACACGCTGGCGTGTCCACTGCTAAAGTCCACTTCCAGATGCACACTTCCTGTAAATGACAGCAGACAGAGGGGCATGAGAAGGTCTCTGAAGGCTACTGAAGCAACTTACACCTCTCATGGAGACCCTGCAACTTTGGGTAACTAAGCAAAGTACCACTAGCTAAGCCACAAGCAGAGAGGCCCTGACTCTGTGCAGTGGAGTCTGGCTGTTTCCTGAGAACGTCACTGACGTCACACGGACTGCGCAGAGCTGCCAAGCTTGCTCAGGCTGACCCAAAGGGCCCTTTACCTGGATTTCGGCATCTGAGATGGTTGCCAGATACTTGGCGTCGAGGGTCATGGCTATTGCCCTGATGCCGTTCCCTTCCGGGCAGCTGTCAAATATTGTGTGCACGGGAATACTGCAAAACAGGACAAAGAGGAACAGCATTTGCTGAGGTCTCCCTGATTTCCCACAGGGGTCCAGGGCAGGTCAGAACTCAGCTCAAACCTTCCAAAAACATAACAAAATGTGGCATGTCCATACAATGGAATATTATTTAGCCTTAAAGAGGAATGAAGCACTGACACGTACTACAACAGGGATGAGCCTCGAAAACACGATGCTGAGTGAAAGAAGCCAGACACGAAAGGCCACACATTGCATGATTCCATTTACATGAAATGTCCAGAGCGGACAAATCCACAGAGACAGAGAGTAGACTGGGGGTTGCCAGAAGCGGGGGGGAGAGAGAAATGGGAAGTGACTGATAATAGGTACAGAGTGTCCTTTGGGAATGATGAAATGTTTTGGAACTAGACAGAGGTGATAGCTGCACAACAGTACAAATGTACTAAATGCCATTGAATTGTATACTTTAAAATGGTTAATTTTACGTTATGTGAATTTTACCTCAATAATAATAATAAAAATACAGCCTAACTCAGGGGCAGTATGCAAATGTGCTGTCTCCTTTCTTCATAAGCTCTAGTCTCTCAGTCACTCGTTCCTGGGGGCCAATTCTGTGCCAGGTTGTGCCAGACATGAAGGATTCAAATATGAAAAAAGATGACTAGGACAATGTCCCAGCTTCAGGAAAACGAGCGATCTCCTCCACAGGTGGGAATGTAAATGAGCACAGTCTTTCTAGACAGCAGTTTGGCGGTATCTATCAAAATTTTCAATGCATACACCCTATGGCCCGGTAATTCCACTCCTACGACTTTTTCCTAGAGAAAAAACAACAAAAGTAAACAGAGATCAATGAAAATTCATGGTCATTGTGGCACTGCTTTAATAGCAACAATGAAACATGAATATTCATTAATATAGTATATACAAATTGCTGAAAAATATTATGGCATAACTATATAATGAAAAACCATGCAGCCTTCAAAAAGAATGAGGTAGATTAGGAAAGTGATCAAAATTTTGTGAAAAAAGCAAATTACAAAACAAAAGCATTATCCCGATCATATGAGGGAGGGAGGGGGAGAGAGAGATAGAGAGAAAGAGAGAGAGAGAGAGTGTGTGTGAGTGTGTGTATCAGAAAATCCTGGAGGAACAGACTGCAAACTATAAACAATGGTTACTCTGGAGATAGGTTTTGGGTGAGGAGGAACTTTCATTTTTTATTTATACCCTTCTGTACTGTGTTACTGGCAAGACTTAGAATTGTATGATCTAGACAAAGCCTCGACATATGCAGAATTTAATTAGACGAAATTTAAATATCTGAGAGAGCTGAAGAATGCAAGCAGCGATGGAAGCAAGGACAGGAGCAAGCTGACTGTGGAAGGAGGGGTCAGCTGACCTCTGTTGGGATGGAAGAGCAGGCGATAGATAGTAAGACTTAAACCAGGAATGAGGGCTTTGTGACTCCCGTTTTTGTTGCTGTTATGGAGTCCTTGTCACAGTGAATATAAACAGGCCCCAGGGTGTCACATCAGTGTCCCAGTTGGCTGGAACCAAGTCTGTGTCCAGCTGAGGGCCGCTCTGGTTCTGTCACATGAGAAACTTCATCCCACTGAGAAGTAGCCCCAAAAATTCACCTGGGAAGGCAATCCCAAAATTGTTGGGAATGACACAATGAAATCCTTAGTGGGAGAATGTATCTTATCCCTGGAAATATTCAGAATTAAATATAGCGAAGATAAAGTCGGCCAGACCTGTACCATTAACATGTTTGTGACAAGAGAATTTGTTCATTTTTTAGGAATGTGTGATGTTTAAGTGAATTTGACATATCAGAGTCCCTAACAGATTAGTGATTCTAATTTAAAATATGTAGTTGAGGCCGGGCGCGGTGGCTCACGCCTGTAATCCTAGCTCTCTGGGAGGCCGAGGCGGGCGGATTGTTTGAGCTCAGGAGTTCGAGACCAGCCTGAGCAAGAGCGAGACCCCGTCTCTACTGAAAAAAAAAAAATAGAAAGAAATTATCTGGACAACTAAAAATATATAGAAAAAAAAAATTAGCTGGGCATGGTGGCACATGCCTGTAGTCCCAGCTACTCGGGAGGCTGAGGCAGTAGGATCGCTTGAGCCCAGGAGTTTGAGGTTGCTGTGAGCTAGGCTAATGCCATGGCACTCACTCTAGCCAGGGCACCAGAGTGAGACTCTGTCTCAAAAAAAAAAAAAAATATATGTAGTTCATTTAGACTTGTAATTTTAAATTGAAATTGTATTAGGTTTATAAACAATATTAGAACACTTAAGAGAACTTAAGATTTACCATATTTATGTCTAATTTACTAAATTTATAAGAATTACTAAAGTACTAGTGAAGGATCTGTTAATCAGACTACTAAAAAACTTAAAAATGAAACTGAATATATTAAATTTCTAAATGCAGTTTAAAAATGTTTAAGAGGAATTAATAACCAAATTTGTAAATGGGGCTAAACATTAATCAAAGCCTCCTCAAAGGTGATTGCAAAAATATGCTAGATTTATAGAGTAAGATTTTTAAGTTGAATGAAAAGCTTAAGGAAGAACTATAGTTTTTAATTTGTCAATTAAATGAAGTGAATATTAATTATAAAACCAAAGCAACCTCTGAATAATCTTTTCTGGGTCCCAAAGTCATCATTTGGGATATCATAAAATTCATACCGACAAAGCATTTGAATTGTTAATTTTTTTTTTTTTTTTTTTTTTGAGACAGAGTCTCACTCTCTTGCCTGGGCTAGAGTGCCGTGGCTTTCCCTTGTAATTTTTTAAAAAAATCACCGTCCTCAACTTGCTCTGAGTCTAGTAGGGAAATACCTTTAAAAATGTAAAATAAACTATGGATTAACACCAGAAGGGGGCTAACTCTGTCTGGTGAGGGGCTTCCACCAGCAAAGGCTTTGGAGGAGAGACACACATGAAGGACTCCCACCCTTCTGCTGGCAGACTTTGCGGACTTCCTATTGCATGAGACCATAGCTTTCCCTAGTAGTTAAGTTGGATGTTCCATGACCTGCAGCTGAAAGCATCTAACAGCTGCAGACGATGGCAGCACGCAGGCAGGGGCGTTTCACTTTCTAGGGGAAGTGTGTGCACAGCGCCAATGCAAGGTGCATATTTTCTCTCTGTAACAGCTGATTTGGCAATGGGCAGTCTCTGAAGGGTTTCAATCAGAGAGGGGCGACACCATCCAATTTATGTTTGGGAAAAGATTACACTAAAAATGTTGTGGAGAAAAACCACATGATGATGTCTAAATATATGTAATTAAAACAATAGCAAATGTTCTGGAAGGAAACACAACCAAATTGATTACTTCCAGAAAGAGGACTGGATTGGAAATGGTAGCCAATGTTTTCTATGACAATGTATTATTTCCATTAAATGTAACAGTTTTTCATTAAAATGTATTAAAACTATTTTTAAAAAGTCAACAGATGAATGGATAAACAGAATGTGGTATATCCATGCAATGGAATGTGATACACCCATAAAAAGGAATGAAGTACTTAAGCACACTACAATGTGAATGAACCCTGAAACACTGTGCTAAATGAAAGAAGCCAGATGCAAAAGGCTACATATAGTATGATTAATTGATATGAAGTGTCCAAAATAGGCATATCTCTAGAGACAGAAAATAGATTAGAGGTTACCAGGGGCTGAGGGGAGGGCAGAATGGGGAGTTCATCAGTATAGAGTTTCTGTTTGCAGTGTTCAGTACACCAAACCACATACCATCCTCAACAAATAAGCCAGCCTCCTCCTTTAAAGCTGCTGCCCAAAGTGATGTGCCCAGGCTCACGATATCCCCCAGTGTCTAGGTGTCTTCTTGTCCAGCACTTCTCAAACTATCTGTGGGGAAGGACTTTTTTTTTTTTTTGAGACAGAGTCTCACTGTGTTACCCGGGCTAGAGTGAGTGCCGTGGTGTCATCCTAGCTCACAGCAACCTCAAACTCCTGGGCTCAAGTGATCCTCCTGCCTCAGCCTCCCGAGTGGCTGGGACTACAGGCATGAGCCACCAGGCCCGGCTAATTTTTTTTTTCTATATATTTTTAGTTGTCCAATTAGTTTCTTTCTATTTTTAGTAGAGATGGGGTCTCGCTCTTGCTCAGGCTGATTTCGAACTCCTGAGCTCAAACAATCCGCCCGCCTCGGCCTCCCAGAGAGCTAGGATTACAGGCGTGAGCCACCGCGCCTGGCCCGGGAAGGACTTTTTAAAAATGTTTCAATCCACCGCAGCAGACCAATACATTCACAAAATAGAAATATCGCAGCAAAATCAACTTGCCATAAAAGTTCCCAAATGCTGCCTTCATTTTCTATACTTTCTGTTCAGTGTGGGCCAGCGCCGGCTGACAGATCAGCTCAGTCTATGACCACCCTGTGAGTAGCACTGCTCTAGCTCACAGAGATTTCACCATTCCCTGTTTGATGCGCTGTCAGAAAAGGGACCCCAAAAGCTGAATTTTACAATTTAGGAGGAATGGCAATAAAAGATGACAACCTTGATATCCAGAGAGACTCCCCATCCAGTCTGTCGCCAGCAGGAGAGAAGGAGGGGGACAAGTTACCAAGCAGATACAGGAGGCTCCGGAGCCTGGCTCTTTGGACCTGGGCTCTAGCACCAGAGAATCCATAAGCTGTTGACTCCCATCAGCCCCTGGGCTGGTCTCTGCGATACTTGACTAAAACAAGCATGCTATTTACCCAAGTTTGGAAGGCTACTGGGACTCCTATTTCAGACATCAGAGTGTCCAAAGGCTACGATAGTCTTAGCACAAGAAAGACATCAGACACATTCTGATAAAAGGGCACCCTACAAAATCCCTGACCAGTGTTCCTCAAAGCTGTCAAAGTCTTCAAAAACAAGGAAAGTCTGAGAAACTGCCACAGCCAAGAGGAGCCTAAAGAGATATCACAACTGAATCTAATGTATCCTAGAAGGGAAAAAGGATATTAGGGATGAACTAAGGAAATCTGAATGAGCTCTGGATGTTAATTAGTAACAACGTATCAATATTAACTTATTAATTATAATACATGTGCCATACTAATATAAGATGTAAATAATGAGGGAACAGGCTGTGAAGTATATGGGAACCTTCTGTGCTATCTTATCGAAGTTTTCTATAAGTCTAAAACTGTTCTAAAAAATGTCTATTAATAAAAAAAGAGGCAATGGTGGGCGATGAGCAGTGGGGAGTTGTCAGAATTAGAGGCTGCAGAGTCACAGCAGCTTTGGAAAGCCTCCTATCACGAACGTGTCTAAAACCACCACAGGGCAATACGATTGAACACACCTACCAAGAAATCTACTAACAGAAGGGAGGATGGGCAGCAAGAAGCACAAAATATGAGTGGAGAGCTGGGGAGGAGGGGAACGCTTGGTGGTGACCATTAAGACCTGCCCAGAAGAGTCTGAATGTAGCCTGGACAACATAGCAAGACCCCCATCTCTCAAAAAAAAAAAAAACTGCCCAGAAGAGGTAGCTTGACCTGTGACTAGAAAATCTATCCTTGTGAAAGTAAAGTTTCTCATTGTAAATGACAGATTTGGCATTCGGTTTATGTTTTGTGCTTGTGTGAGCTGGATTAGTACGAGTCAGCCCTCCCCTGCCTCAGTCTACTCTGGAACACCAATGAACCAAGTTTATAGGCACTAGCATTACTCATTCTGTGCTTAGTCAAAGTGGCAGATACTCTAAAGAAATTAGAGGGGGGCAAAAAAAAAAAGAAGTGACTGCACAAGGCCTACCCTGTGAAGGAGTCCCATATAATTATCAGGCAGTCTGGCCCTTTGTCTGCCGTGGCAATCCACCGCCTGTCTTCACTGATGCAGAGGCAGGAGATAACGTTAGGGTGGCCCTATAGAAATGGAGAGAAAATGCTTTGAGACATCCAGGATGCTGCTCAGCCCTGGGCTCCATCAAGAAAGGCTGGGCCCCCACGGAGGTCTGAGCTTCTTTCAATGCTCATCTGGCTAAAAATTCTCCTCCCTCTGGCCTTCCCTGGGGTTCTTCCATCTCCTAGTGGATGGTTTTCAAACTTCCTCTCCCTCCAAACACCTGAAAGATAAGCTACACTCCCCACAGCAACTGTGGCTCCCTAGGGGTCAAGACATGTACCCAACTCGAACCCAGGTGCCAGTGGGTATAGCTTGGGGGTACAGCATCTGACTGCAGATCAAGAGAATAAACATCGGAACCAGGGGTGTTCTGGGCCTTCATTAAGAGGATTTGTTCTGTGAAATTTGGATTCAGTCAAAAGGCTGCACTCAAGGATCCAGAAGGCCACATTCTGGGCTCTCCCCTCCCCCAGCCATCCTGAACCTCTCTGCCAGCCTCATCTCCCTAAAACACTATTCGCTTAGGTCACTGAGCAGCTCTGGAGCAATGGGCTCCTCACTGGTCTACTTCCTCCTACCATCGCATCCTCCTACCATCCTTTCCCCCACACAACAGAGGGATCTTCTAGAAACATAAATGGCAGCACTTCCTGCCAGGAAATAGCCCCCGTTTCCGTTGTACCTCATCTCCCTCCCTCACTCTGCACCAGCCACACTGGCCTTCTTTCTGGGCCTCCCACACAAGGCCCAAGCACTTGGAGCTCCCTCTGTCTAGAATGTTCTTCTCCCAAATTTTGTTTGGTTCATTCTCATCTTCCAAGTCTCACCACAAACAGCACTTTTTTCATCTGTGATCACTCCATCTAAAGTAAATCTCTCTCCCTGACTTCTTTCAGAGCATTTTCACATTTCCTTTGGAGCACCGGTTACAGTTTGTAATCATATATGTGCGTGTTCACTTGTTTAGTGCCTGTTGTCTCCGCAGTAAACCGCAAGCTCCACAAGAGCAGGGAATAGATCTGTTTTGTTCATGACTACAGACCTACGGTCTGAAACACAGTCGCTGTGATAAATGATAAATATTTGTGGAAGGAATGAATGAATGGTCAAGGCCATTGCCAGCCACCTGACCCTGGCAAGGCTGGACTTCTGCCAGACATGCTCCTTCCTCTCAGCCCGTGTGTTCCTGCTCCTCCGAGACTGAGCCTGCCGATGACAATCTCTCCCGCTTGCCTCCGCTGAAACCATTGTGTGTGCTCACTGCCACACATTCAATGAAGCTCTGAGGGGAGCTTCTTGCTGATTTTGTCGTCTGTATTTCTGGACTTCTGGAGAGCAAATTCCTTAAGTTGTGCCCACGTATCTTGGATCCCTGGCACAACACTGAGTACTGACTGGGCTCCTGGTAAATACTTCACAGTGTTTTTGATCTGGGTGTCGACTAAGGAAGGTCCTATAACAACGCACGTCAACTGAAAGGGTAACGTGGAACTGTTTATCGGGTCAACTATGGAAAGTCAGATAGTAAGAAATAGGACATTTGGATAGGTCAACGGTGAGAATGAGAGGAGGAAGTGGAGTGGTGTGAAGAGGGCAGGCATGTGGGACATGGGGGGGAGGTTCAGAGAGGATGAAAGTAAGCAAGTTGCCAAAAGTAGGGAGAGAAAAGAGGACAACTTAATACTATCTTACTTACTTAACACCTATGGAACACTTTTGAGTTAGGAGACCTAGATTTATCACTTACTAGTGCAGTCTTGGGCAAGTCACTTAAACCACTCTGGGCCTCAGTTTCTTCTTCTATAAAATGGGTATATTAACACCCACTTCTCAGTACAGTTGTAAGGATCACAGCCCTTTGAGAACTGGAGGAGTCTGTGTGTCCATCAGGTCTGCGTCCCTGCTGAGCAGCTGCCCGTCTTTGTTTTACCACACTTCTGTGGAGACATGAGCTACACTGTCCCCATGTTTGCAGAAATGTAAAAAGCACAAATGTTTAAAATTCTTGTAACTATAAAATTAAATCAACTGTTGTTTGTAAGCTGGTTCTGATTAGAATCAGAGAGACAATGGGCAATGACATGTGCTTCTAAAGACAGATTTGCTGTGGCTCAAAGAGAGGGGGGAAAGCATGACTGTGATATCATGGAGTCAGCCCTTGAGATACAAAACAAAATGCTACACACAAGCTAAAGACAGCCTCTTTTACGTGCAAGAAGAAAAACCCTGCATACCTGAAGGTGGTACTGATTATTCCTGGACACGTTGTAGATGACCGCACTGTGAGCGCAGACATACAGAAGAACTCTCTGGTTTTTCTCTCGAATGTAGTAAACAGGAAGGGAGCTGTTCCATCCAAACGACCAGGTCATGGTCTGGAAGACAAAGGTAAAACCAGCAGACGCTACAGTGTGCCGAGCCCAAGACTGTGGCTCCAGATGTTCCTGGCATGAGTCCTTGGAGGAGGAGGATTTCATATCAACAGTGCAATGAGGAGAAACCCCTCTAAGAAAGTCCTCAACAGCATGCTACAATATGGATGAATCTTGAAAAGGTGATGCCAAGTGAAAGAAATAGCAACGATGGTTGCACAACCCTGTATGTTGAAAACCAGCAAATTGTATTCTTTAAAAAGGGTAAATTTTCTGAGGATGTGAAAAATTGGAACCCTTGTACATTGCTGGTAGGAATGTAAAATGGTGCAGCAGTGGTGGAAAACAGTATGGCTGTCCCTCAAAAAATTGAAAATAGAATTATCCTATAATCTAGCAATTAATTTTTGGGCATATAACCCAAAATTACTGAAAGCAGGATCTTAAAAAATATTGGTATATCCATGTTCATAGCAGCATTACTCACAACAGCCAGCAGCTGAAAGAAACCCAAGTGTCCACTGGTGGGTGAATGGAGAAACAAATTTCGGTCTATCCATACAATGGAAAATTACTCAGCCTTAAAAAGGAGAGAAATTCTGACATAGGCTACCACATGGATGAAACTTGACGACACTGGTAAGTGAACAAGCCAGTCACAAAAGGACAAATGCTGTATGATTCCACCTATATGACATACCTAGAATAGTCAAATTCACAGAGACAGAAGATAGAATGGTGGGGACCAGGCGCTGGGGGGAGGAGGGGAGGAGTTTGTTGTTTATTGGGTACAGAGTTTCAGTTTTGCAAAATGAAAGGAGTTCTGGAGATGGGCAGGGCACAACAATGTGAATGTACCTAATGACACTGAACTGTATACTTGAAATGGTTAAAGTGGCTTTTTTTTTTTTTTGAGACAGGGTCTTGATCAGTCACCCGGGCTGGACTGCAATGACAATCACAGCTCACTGCAGCCATCAGCCCCTGAGCTCAAGCAACACTCCTGCCTCAGCCTCCCAAGAAGGGGGACTGCAAGTACACATGACCACATCTGGATAATTTTTTTTTTTTTTTTTTTTTGTAGAGACAAGACCTTGCTATGTTGCCTGGGCTGGTCTTGAACTCCTGGCCTCAAGCGATCCTCCTGCCTTAGACTCTCAAAATGCTGGGATTACAGGAGGGAGCCACCATGCCCGGCCAAGATAGTGAATTTAATGTTATATGTGTTTTACCACAATTTAACAAACTATAGAAATCATCCCTGAAAATGGAGTCTTTATTTTACAATTTAAAAAAAAACTTAAAGGGTAAATTTCATAGCATGTGAATTATATCTCCATTGAAAAAGAAAATAAATAAAGGGATATCTAAGTTATATAAGCAAAAAAAAAGAAAAAGAAAAGAAAGTCTTCAACAATAAATAGAAAAAAACTTCCTATTCTTCCACTCCCCAGGACCCAGACCTTGCTTAGCACCAGCCACACAGTAAGCACCTAATGTTGTGAAATCCCATTTACTTCCTAAAAGCATGTAGAGTGGACAAGTTATAATAAAGCCATTAAATAACTTTATAAGAAAGGCAATTAATTACTCAGCCTGGGTATTTATTCTTTTTCTCTTTTTTCTTTCTCTCTTTATTTTTTGAGACAGGGTTTCACTCTGTCGTCTGGCGTAGAGTGCAGTGGTGTGATCATCTCTCTCTGCAACCTCAAATTCCTGGGCTCAAGTGATCAATCCTCCTGCCTCAGTAGCTAGGACTACAGGCATGTGCTAGCACATCTAGCTAATTTTTTTTTTTTTTTTTTTTGTAGAGACAAGGTCTCACTATGTTGCTCAGACTAGTCTTGAACTCCTGGCCTAAAGCGATCTTCCTGCCTCGACCTCCCAAAGTGCTAGAACTATAGGCATGAGCCACCTCGCTCAGCCATATTTTATCCTTACACATCATTTTTCTTGGAAGGATAAATGATAAAGAGGTAAAATCCCCTTAGAAGAATTAAAAATTCTATACTGCTAGGAATAAATCCAAAATAAAAATATTATGAAATGAAAAATTATAGGTACTATAAATATGACTATTGCTTTTAATTTTAATTTTGTATTCAAAGTCTTTTATAAAAATTAAAGATAAACAAACTGTGGCATATCCAGACAATGGGAATATCATTCAGCAAGAAAAAGAAATGAGCTATCAAGCCACAAAAAGACATGGAGGAACCGTAAATGCCAGTCTGAAAAGGCTGCATATTGCATGATTCCAACCATACGACATTCTGGAAAAGGAAAACTATGGAGACAATAAAAAGATCAGTGGTTGCCAGGGCCTAGGGCAGGAGGGAGGGATGAATGGGTGGAGGACAGGGATTTACGGCAGTGAATCTGCTCTCCGCGATTCCGGAATGGTGGGTACACGTCATTATACATTTCAAGGCCCACGCAATGTACAACATACAGAGTGTCCCCTAATGTAAACTATAGACTTTGGTTAACAATAACGTATCAATATTGGCTAATCAACTAACAGATGCACCACCCTAATGCAAGATGTTAATAAAAGGGAGAACTGGAGAGGAAGGAGGCGCAAGGGAGTACATGGGCACTCTCTGTGCCTTCAGCTCAATTTTTCTATAAATCTAAAACTGCTCAAAAATAAAGTCTATTAAAAAAATTAACTAAGGCCAAGGAATGAAATGCAGTAGAGCGCCAAAAGTGATGGGTGATGAGCTGCTAAAAATCAGTGAGTTATATTGGAGAACAGAAACAAAATCTGGTAAGTTTCCTTTCTTATCTTTGAACAATACTTATAAAGTTAAATTATTTCTCCCCAAGATAGACACAGCAGGTAACGCGGCCGATTTCTCTCTCTTACATTCTTCGTTCCCCATCCTCTCCTGTTTCCATCTGCTCATTCCCTATAATTTATATTTATATTTAGATCTCTTATTGTGTGGGTGTGAGTGGTAGAATTATGGAATCATAATTGTCTCAAGCTGCAACTTCTAGGAACAGAATTATTTAATATTTGGCTAGTTCTTAAAAGCTAATTTATTCAAATGAAATTGTTCTTTTGGAAACTTGCTAATCCTAAAAGGATCATATTATTCATCCTGGAAATTTATTTTGCCATTTAACAAATTAGTTATAAAAAGAAAACATTCCTAAACATCCTAAGCAGACTCCTGTCTTCAGCTACAACAGCTCTTCCAAAGTCAAAACTAGGCTGACTTCACTCAGTAGTAACAGGAATACCTTCCTCAAGCAGTGCTCCCAACTACTGAAATCACATAGTATTAATCATCATGTTTTACACCAGTTTTAACATTCACGACAAATGATCGTGGACATAAGCACCTCTTACATCAATATTTTTCTAAAACATGGTAATCTGAAAGACAAAACGTTATTGTCAGAACTAGATTTCACTAGATTTCATGCTCATAAGATTCCTGCTCATAAATACCTTGTTTCTTGGCTGGAGATGGGATCCATAGTCAGGCCTATTTACCATGAGCACTGTGAGTTACTACAGGCCTTTGCACTAAGGCAGGGGACCCCAAAGGAAAAGGGGGGTGCTGCAGGCACAGCAGAGACGGAGGAGCACATTCGCTGTAAGACCTTTTGTGAGAGTAAGAAACTAGAAGCAACACAAATGGCCACTGAGAGGGGAATAGTTAAATTTAAAAAGAGGGCCCTGTGATCTTAGCACTCTGGGAGGCCGAGGTGGGAGGATCACTTGAGGCCAAGAGTTCAAGACCAGCCTGAGCAAGAATGAAACTCCATCTCTACTAAAAATAGAAAAAATTAGCCAGGCGTGGTAGTACATGCCTGTAGTCCCAGCTACTCAGGAGGCTGAGGCAGGAGGATCCCTGGAGCCCAGGAGTTTGAGGTTGCAGTGAGCTATGATGTCACCAATGCAATCTAGCCTGGGTGACAGACTAAGACCCCGTCTCAAAAACAATTAAAAAGAGGAAGTAGAGCTACATGCACTAATGTAAGAAACCTTTGAAGATATATTAAGTGAAAAAACATTTTGCAGAGATGCAGAATATCTCACTGGTGAAAACACAAAACAAAACCTAAATGTGAGCACACATACACATATGAGCACATAGATAACATGTTTGTATACGCATGAAAAAGTCAGGAAAGATACAGTTATACTGAGTAGTAACAGTAGTTATCTCAGGCAAATGAGATTGGGGTTAGGAGTGTGTGCAGGAAGAGGAATCTTTGCCTTCAAATGTGTATATGTTGTCTGAATTTTTTACAAAGAGCACTGAATATTTTTAGCGAAAAGAAAAAATAATCAAGGAGGAAAAGAAGGAAGGTAGAGGAAAAAGAAGAAGAAATAAAATATAGGCAAAAAGCTAAAGAACTTTCAGGAGGCTAAGGTGTAAGGGCTGCTTAAGTTCAGATCCAGCCTGGGTAATATATTAATAGCAAGACCCTATTCGTAAAAAAATAAATTAAAAAGAAAAAAAAGCTTAAAAAATATGCAAAGAGAGACAGTCTAGAAAAGTTTTGGTTCTGCAGTGAGACCAAACCTAACGGAAGACCCTAAACTGGGGAGTGGCTCTTGTCATGTCCAGATAGCTGGGGCCACGACACCAAAGCTACACATTCTCATCAGGAATATTATCTGATTTCTTGTTAGCTGGTTAACAAGACGAAGGTCTTCGTGGACCCTAAAACTCAATTATTCTTTCTCTCAACCTGAGCAATTACAAGCTACAGGAGAGAACCTATAACTCCACTGCTCAAATCTGCAGAAAGTAGGTTTTCAGTTGTCTGCATTTCCCACTAGACATCTTTCCTCCATCATCATCATCGTCGTCATGGTCATCATCACACAGTTGTTAACACTTACCAAGTGCTATGAGTTAGTGACTACGTTAAGTACTTCACATACTTCTTCCAAAGGCATGAATCTACAGGGGAGAATTTTTTTTTTAAAAAAGAACGAATCCTAGGAAACAATTTTCAGAAAGTAGCAGATGGAGGAAGAAGGAAAAAAACCTCTCCTCTTCCTTCTCGTGGTAAATGATAATATTTTTATTCCTCCCAGATGGTGCCTCCCTGGAATATTTTCAGCAGCAGCAAAGGCAGACTCTTTTGGACTGCCTGGGGCTTTTCACGGTGGCTTTCACCCTTGCCATGCCTTTCACGTCTGACCTCTTGGGATGGATGGTTTTGGAGCACGTAAAGATATCAAGGCAGAAGAGAGGAGGCAAGAAGGGGAAGGCGAGGAATTGGTGGGATGAAGGAGTATTACAGTGTGAGAGAGAGAAAGAGGAGGGGAGGAGAGAGGAGGGGAGGGAAGGAAAAGGAAAGAGTGGGGAGGAAGAAGAGGGAGAGGAAAAGAGATGGAAAAGAGGAGGGCAGTGGGAGAAGGATCAGTCTTGAGTCTCCCACGTGAAGTAGCACCCTATGCAACAGACAAACTATGTCTGGAATTTCCTGCCTGCTGAGCAACACTATTGAACCCAGATGCAGCAGTGTTCGAGTTCATGTTCAGTCACACGTGTCCAGCCAAAGCTCTTCACTGAACTTTAAAAGACATAAGTCTATTATTAGTTTAAAAGTATCTTTCTGGTGGTATTTTTCCCCCCACAAACATAAAATTCCCCTACTTCACAATACTTGCAAGGCACTGGGGGAAATTAAAAAGCATGCTGCACTTACCAAGGGATATACGGCGCCCTCCTCCTTTTGAAACAAAATGTCTTCCGAGGTGGTGGACACCAGTGACTCCTTGGAGATCCCTGCTTTGGACTGGACGTCTTTCTCTTTTTCATCTAGTCCCCGCTTTCCCTTCTCTGGTTCCAAGTCTCTTCCTTCTTGTCCCAATTCATCTTGGGGCATCCGGATGGTTTTCTTCTCAAGCTCACCTAAGAGCTGCCTTTGAAGGGAACTAACCTGTTGTTTCTCAGAACTGATTTCATCCAAATCAAGAAATCCAAGTTGTGAGCTCCGGACTCTTGGAAGCTCTTTCGTTTTGGAACCCTCTGATTGTAATGAATGCTTTGACTCGCTACCTCTACGGGTTTTCTTTAAAAAGAAATAAAAGGTGATTGTGATTACAATGCAACATTCCCCCATTTATTTTTAAAAATTTTTAATTTAAAAACATTTTTTTAGAGACAGGATCTCCCTCTGTTACCCAGGCTGTAGTGCAGTGGTGCAGTCGTAGCTCACTGCAACCCCAAATTCCTGGGCTTAAGGGATCCTCCTGCCTCAGCCTCCTAGGACTCAGGCATACGCCACCACACCTGGTTAATTTTTTTTCTTTTTCTTTTTTTTTTTTTTTTGGTAGAGACTGTGTCTCAATGTGTTGCCCAGGCTGGCCTCAAACTCCTGAGCTTTAGCAATCCTCCCACCTCAGCCTCCTATGTAGCTGGGGGGATTACAGGTGGGCGCCACATCCCCCATTTATTTTCTTTTCTATTCCCAATCAGTCAGTCTTAATGTTAGCCTCACCATGGAATTATGAAATGCTTTAAAAAGGAGGCTGGGACATTTTGTATTTAAAAAATAAAGGTATGTTCAAGTTTATTCTTGGCCTAGTGCTGCTAATAATAGCACAGTACACAGCAAACCACAACAGCAAAATCATTCTTCTAAGTGACACTGGTGGTCTCTAAAAGGCTGACTAGTCACAGACAGTTACTGATCCTTGGCCACAGCTGAGTTCTCCTCCTGGGAGCAGTCTGTGGGTCATATTGACTCTGTTCTAAGACAAGCACACTTCAGCTAACCCCAACCAGCCCTAAAGTCAGCTATGGCACACATCACCTCCAGGAAGCCTTCCCTGACCATCCTCTAAACTGGGTTAAGTAGCCCTGTTTTATCTTCTGTGCATCTTTTAATCACTGCACTTAGCATATTGTTTTATAATGTTTGGTTAGGGGCCTCCCTACACACCTTAGAGCTCCTTTAAAGAATGGATTGCGTCTTATTTGGTTTTATATTCACACAGCCTGGCCTATACTAAGCATTCAATTAATGATTCTGAATCAATGGATGAATGAATTATAGTCACTACTTACTGCGAAAGTTCCTGACATGGTCGACTGGGAACTGGTAGAAAGTTTCTCCATACTGATTGTGGACTTGATAATTTCTTGGGGTTCCACTGTGGTTTCTTCCTGTATTCCTGAAGCCTCTTCTTCCTTGGCTTCTCCAGCCTTTTCCTCAGTTTCTTCTATGACAGCCTTTTCCTCCTCCTCTACCTCTTCCTCCTTCTTCCCCTCCCGCTCCTCCCCCTCTTCCTCCTCTTCTCCCTCCTCCTCCTCTTCCCCCTCCTCCTTCTCCTCTTCCCCCTCCTCCTCCTCTTCCCCCTCCTCTTCTTCCCCTTCCTCCTCCCCCTCCTCCTCCCCTTCCTCCTCCTTCTCTTCATCCCCATTTTCCTCTCCTTCTTCCCACTTCTCCTTCCTCTTCATCTCCTCTCCCTCCTCCTCCATCTCCTCCTTATCCTGAGAATCAATCCATGCTAATGTGTCATCTTCTTTTGATTCCTGTTGCATATTTTCTACTTCTTTATAATTTGGATTATTGTCTTCTTCCATTTCTGTTTCTCCATTTTCTTCTGTTTCTTCTTGGGGGAGTTCTTCTGCATCTGACATTCTTCTCTGTGGAGTTTCCTCTAGAGAAATTTTGACCATAATAATCAGCAGGCCCCTCTGTGTCCCATTTTGATTTCCTGATGCACTAACCTATTGATGAAATGTGCAAGACCAGCTCCGGCTCCTTCCCACAGGAATAAAAAGAGTGTCATATTTGTGGGAAAGCCTGGCCCAAATCTTAAAAAACATTGATTCCAGGACCTCTCATCTCTCTAGGAATAACCTTAGTGTCATTTAACTCATTTTAAATATATTTATATTCCCACAGCAGCAAAATGCACAAGCCAGGCATTAGCAACAATACTAACATGAGGAATAAGAGAAGGAACAGTACAGCCTAGTGATTAACAGCACGGGCTTTGCAGTCGGCTTATCCTAGCATTGAATCCCATTCTACCTACCACTCACTTGCTCTGTCGCCGTAGGCAAGTCATTTTACCCCTCAGAGTCTTCATTTGCTTACAGGCAAAATAAAAATGATAATCCTAAATTCTAAGATTGTTGTGAAGATTAGATAACATATGTAAAATGCTCAACACAGTTCCAGCACATAGTGTCTGAAAATGGTAGCAATAGTTACCATGGAGATAGAAGCAACCCTAATTCGCAGAGAAATTAACAGTTTTATAGCCTTTTTGACATATTCTCTGATTTATTCCTTACATCAGACAAAGAGTATGAACAAGGAAAACAATAAATATGGACACTTTATCCCTGAAAAGTTGGACCCAGAACAAAAAATCCCCAAATTTTCAGTGACATTAGAATAAGAAAACCTAACTCCTTGAAAATACAGTCCCAAAGAGTACAGGGTAGATAAGGTATTTCTATTTCTTCATTTCTCTTTCTTAGTACTCAACGTATCAGTTCCTCAACTTCATCTCTGGCAAAAATATAAATAAGAAAAGAGTCTGCGGCTCTGAGAGGTGAAGTGACGTACTCAAGACGACAGCTGGTAAGAAACAGAATCTCCCTGACACTTAGTTCCTCCACCTGAAAAACGACTGCCATGGATTCAAGTCCAGGGCTGCTACCCCCGAGCCTCTTCCGACAGACCCAAACTTTGCCAAGGCATTCTGACGGGACGGGTTCAAGGCCCCGGCGAGCCGCAGGGGCGTTAGGGCGGGGGTGGCAGGTGTGTGGGTCTGTGGGGAGCAGAAAGCCCGGGTGCGGCCTCTTCCTCCAGCTCAGGTCTCCCCGGGGCCGCCCCAGGCCCGGCCCGAGTGGGGTGTGCGCCCCCCACGAGGCACCAGCCCCGCCAGGCCGGGGACCCCCACCCGGGCCCCGTGGCCTCTGTCCCGGACTTACAGAGAGCGCCCACTCCCGTCCCCAAACGGCCGGAGTCGTCCCTCCGCCTGGACCCCTCAGCGACCTGCTGGGCCTCCAGCTGCCTCTACCTTTTCCACGAACTCCCTAGTTACGGTTGCCACCAAGCCCCGTCCCCATGGCAACCACCGCCGCCAGAGCGACGGGCCGTAAAGCTACAGGTCTGGACGGAGGTCACGTGCCCAGAAATCGGCCGGGAGCGTGGCCGGCGCGCCCCCTGCTGGTCGCCGGGGCAGAGGCGCCGCGCGAGGAAAATGGCTCTCCTCGTCTTCCTCTTTCATCCTTTCCTCCTCTCAAACTATCCCCCCACCTTCCGACGGTGCCATCCCCCCGAGAAGCTGCAGCGACCAATACTGGCGATTTTGATTTTCCGAAGGCTTGGCAAGGTTGAGTGAAAAAGTATCAACTCTTTGATAAAATTCTCTTGTCCAAAAGCAAACTAAATTTCCAGGTCTCATAGATCCAACACCCATCTGTCCTGCCTGCCCCCTTGCCAGGGCACCCACCACGTGCTGTATAGAGAATTTTAGCTAGCTGGGATTAAATATTATATAGGTTACATTAGCTTGCTCTTCTTATCACAAAGCATTTCTGCAAAGCCAGTTTGGTTAAATCTATTAGGATCATTCCCCGTTCAAAGTGAGTCTCAGCTAACAGAATCCCACAGAAGACCTCAACAGGTGGCCATCCTGAGGTTTTCACAGGGAGGCCTGCAGGAAACCAGCCAGAGGCACCCATGCGAACACTCTTTGCTGCTATCATTTTAGAAGAATGGGAACCATTCTCCCTATCCCCACCACTATGCCTCAATGATGGGAAGTTGATTAATACGCATACATCTCAAAATTTAAAAAAGGGATGAACTGGATGGTGCAAGCTGTGTTTATTATAGTCTGGGACTTATAAAACACTTGGAATTAGAACATGCAATTTAAACAGTAAACATTGGTAAACACAGCAAGTCCGTGGCTACGAGAGGGGAATACACATGGCTGTATGGCTGGAATACACAGTTTGAGGGAAGACGCTCCACAGGAAGGCTTTCGAATTGAGCATGAGAACCCATAGCTGGAAACACACACCAATACTGACTCCCACCAGGGCAGGCTGGGATCTGCACCTCACCAGAGCAAATCCAATACCTAGGAACACAGGGTTGCTGGGCAAAAGGTGCCATACGTCCTCCGAAACAGAAAGTGGTGTGCAAGAACTGGGGAAATAAACGCTGTGATACTATGTAGAGGAAGAAATGCAGACACAGCATCAGCAGGAATCACAGACCCATTTCAACATCCTAAGAGAGAGAAAAAATAAAAGGAAGAAGGAATAAGCATTTTCAAGAGGTCTGATCTGCAAACACTGCCAGTCCCCATCAGCAATGTTAGGCATGCCTTCGCAGTTTACAAGATAGTGCTGCTCTCAGGGCATGACAAGGAGGTTCAATTATAAAAAGTCAAATTAGAAGCTAATCTGCAGTGCTTTTTATTCCAGAAGTGAAAGAAATGAAAGAAGCTTGCTGCCCTCTGGTGGGTTACTGAGAAGGTGCCAACACCATGCTGGGCTACCTGGGAGCCTCCTGGCTTTCCTCTGTCTCCAAAGGGAGCTACTGGGGCCCTAAGGGCATAACTGCTGAAGATGCATGGAATTGTTTAGCAATTTCTGTAGCCACAGCAGCAGCGCTTCACTGCAAAGAAACAAGTTGGTCAAATCTTGACTTCAGCACAGTTGCTTAGTTGTTTTGCCCAACTTTCTATGAGGATGTTCTGTCTGAGCTTTGGTCTGAAAGGGTCCTAAAAAATTCAGTTGGGGTGATAACTTGGTCATATCAGCACTGTAAAACTGTGTTTATTTGAAAAAAATAAAACAAAATCCTAAAAGAATAGTCATATCAGCACCTGCGAGCGTAACTCCTGCCCACGTGCCCACAAGCCAGAGAATTCCCATTTAGGGCCAGGGCCTCATTTGCAAAAGATGCTAAACACGAATCAAGTTTTTAACAATGCCTTAATCCAGAGAGATTACATGGTGGGCCACAGCATTTCCACCACCTAGAAGTTCGGGCTTCCGGCCTCTTCCAGGTCCTTATGCTTCAGGGAGAGGAGAGAATGAGGAAATCTCCACTAGACCCAAATCCAGGGCAAGGGAAGATGCTTTCCTGTTAATGTTTCCCAAGGACAGTCATCTTTGCAGAGGAATAATGTTGCAGCTGGAAGAAAATAAGAAAAGGAATGGCATAAATGTGGTGGCTCCATTCAGGAAGGTCAGAAGGTGAGTCCTTCTGGCTTTTCATCTGCATTCTTTCATTCTTTTTAAGCAAATGCCCATGAAAGAACCAGAGAGGCTCTTAGGAGAGACACCGGGACTCCCTCGGCCTCTAGGCCTGTAGTCTCATTCCTACCACAAGTACTTACCACTAGTTGCTACAAACTCTGGGGAGTCCCTAATGTCCCCCCAGCCTTCCCCTCCAGCTTCACATCTAACACATACTCACAGGATGCTCCCGTGTGAAGGAATGGGAACAGATACCTTACCCCAGCAATCCTTTGCCTGCCCAGCGTGTTGGAACAAGTCTAAGCTGGTGTTTCTCTCCCCTGCGGATCACCATCACATTCAGGGACTTCTGAAAAGTAAGTAGGATCATTTCAAACTCAACCTCGTTAGTACTCAGGCTAAAATGCTGAGATACCATTTTTCACCCATCAAATTGGAAAAGATTTTTAAGCAAATCCTGCAGTTGGTAAGAGTGTGGGGGATGTGGCACTCTTGGGGCAGCCAGTGATATTGCAAATTGGCATCATCTTCCTAGAGAAAAACATGTACCCTCTCTCCCCCCAAAAAAATCCTTAAAAAGTGCATATAAGATAAATTTACAAGGCCAGGCTTAGTGGCTCACGCCTGTAATCCTAACATTTTGAGAGGCCAAGGCAGGAAGATCACTTGAGGTCAGGAGTTCAAGACCAGTCTGAGCAAGAGCAAGACCTCATCTCTACCAAAAATAGAAAAAAAAAATTAGCCAGGCGTAGTGGCACACGCCTGTAGTCCCAGCTACTCGGGAGCCTGAGGAGCATCACTTGAGCTCAGGAGTTGGAGGTTGCAGTGAGCTATGAGGACGCCACTACACTCTGGGGTGACGGAGTGAGACTCCATCTCAAAAAAAAAAAAAAAAAGGATACATTTTACAAAAGTACAAGATGACATACAAATGAAGTATTCATTCTAGGACTGTTTATAAATTCAAAAACTGAAAACACCCAAAATGTCCATCAATAAGATATTGTTCAAATATAGTACAGTGAATGAAGTGTTTGTAAAAACAAAACCAGCAATGTATGAACCCATTTGATTATATTTTCTAAAGGGACATACGTGTTGCTTTGTGCAAAGTTTTCTGGAAGAATATACAAAAAAAAACTTGTTAAGAGTTGTTACTTTGAGAGAGAAATGTCAGTAGTTTGTAGTAAGAGAAGAGGAAGATATTTACTTTTGTGGGGGGGGAGACTATATGGTTTTTTTTTTGTTTGTTTTTTAGTTTTTTGAGACAGATAGCTCGCTGCAACCTCCAACTCCTGGGCTCAAGGGATCCTCCTGCCTCAGCCTCCCAAGGAGATGGAACTACAGGCATGCACCACCAAGCCTGGCTAGTTATTTTTTTTCAATTTTTTTAGAGACGGGGTCTCCCTCTTGCTGAGGCTGGTCTTGAACTCCTGAGCTCAAGTGATCCTCCCGCCTTGGTCTCCCAGAGTGCTAGGATTACAGGAGTGAGCCATGCACCTGATCGTATGTTTTTTATTATTAAGGAATCCACTTCTGTGACTGTCATGAAGCCCAGGCTGTGTTAACAGTGACGAGTTCTAGAGGTAACCTGTCTCAACCTCAACTGAAAACCCAGACTCATGAGGTCTCAATCTCTGCCCTCCTGTTCCTGGCAAATGGAAATGCCAACTATGTAGGAGGTTTCTTCAGAAGACAAAATGATTTTATCTTCTCAGAAGACAAACCCTCCACTTTGCTTTATGAGGCAGATAGCAGCCCCAAACCACAGACAGGCTGGGGCCTGCGCAGGCCTCAATTACTTTTATATATTTCTGTATCATTAATTTTTTTATCCATGTGTATGTATTACTTTCTTTAATTAAAAAAATTAAAGTGAGGGGAGAAACATACCAAAGAAAATTATAAATTAAAATAAGATGCCATCAAAGTCTAAAACTTTTATGCATCAAAGGACACTATTAATAGAGTAGAAAGACAATCCACAAAATGGGAGGAAATATTTGAAAATCACTCTGATAAGTCAACAACAAAAAAGCAAACAACCTGATTAAAAAGTGAGCAAAGGACTTGAATAGCTATTTCTCCAAAGAAGATATACAAATGACCAAAAAGCACACGAAGAGATGCTCCATGAAAGAAATGCACATCAAAACCACAAGGAGATACCACTACATACTGATTAGGATGGCTGTTATTAAAAAGACAGAAAACAACAAATGTTGGCAAGGATGCAGGGAAACTGGAATTACTTGTGCATTGCTGGGAGGAATGTAAAATGGTGTGGCAGCTTGGAAAACAGTATGGTAGTTCCTCCAAAACTTAAATATAGAATAACCATATGATCCAGCAATTAAATTTCTGGGTATATATGCAAAGAAATCAAAGCAGGGACTTGAACATATATTTGTACGACCATATACATAGCAGCATTATTCACAATAACAAAAAGGTGGAAGCAACCCATGTATCCAACAACTAATGAACAGATAAATAAAATGTGATATATATATATATATATATATATATATATATATATATATATAAAACAGTGGAATATTATTCAGCCTTAAAAAGGAAGGGATTTCTGACACATGCTATAACATGGATGAATCTTGAGGACATTATACTATGTGAAATAAGCCAGATACAAAATTCACACAGTATGTATGATTCCACTTATATGAGGTCCCTAGAGTAGTCAAATTCATAGAGACTGAAAGTAGAATGGTGCGTTCCAAGAGCTGGGGGAGGGGAGTGGGGAGTTAGTGTTTGGTGGGGACAGGGTTTCAGTTTGGGAGGGTGGAAGAGTTCTGGAGATGAATGGTGGTGATGTTTGCAGAACAAGGTGAATATACTTAAAGCCACTGAACTATACACTTCAAAATGGTTAAAATGATAAATTGTATATCATATATATTTTACCACAAAAAATTATGGCAGATCTATCAATGTAATCTCTGAATCTTAAAAGATAAAATAAAGCATGGAGGAAAAAACTCAACAAGATGCCATTTTCTGACAATACCACAGCTGGGGAGGGGTAAAGACATAAGCACTTAGGTACGCTACTTGAGAGAATGTGAACTAGCGCAAGCTTCTTGGAGGGCACCTTGACAACACCTACCAAATCTCTACATGTGCACTGCCTTTAACCCAGCAATTCCACTTCTAGATTTATGAACAGACTCTCGCACCACAGGCAAGGATACTCACCACCATTTTGTAATGGTCAAGCATTGGAAACAGCCTAAATGACCAGTATGGGGAGCTTGTTAAATAAAAGATGGTGAACCGAGCCGTGGAATATGGTGGGATCATTAAAAAGAACGGAGGTATACATGTACTGACACAGAACTCTCTTTGAAGAAGGGGGGACTCCAGAGCAGTATGTGGACCAAGCCTTGTTTGTGTCTTGTCAAAAAGCAATTGCTGCAGACATCTGCACTCACACCCAGAAAACGTGTGAGGGATACATTTGTGTGCTTCCAGTTCCCAGAGGCCGCCCCTGATGTGCTCGGTCAGGTTAAGGCCTATCTATTTTATGTCCTAAATGTCTCTCTGACTTGCCCACTTCCTGCCACCTCCACCCCTTTGGTCAAAGCCACCACCATCTCTTGACAGGGCTGCTAACACTCTGTCATCCTCCACTCTGTTCTCTACTGAGCATGCGGAGAAATCTCTGCAAGGCCCAAAGCTTCTTACATCTGTCACTCTCGAACTGGAAGTATGCGGTGGCTCCACATGGCTCCTCAGGAAATGAGAACAAAGTCTTTCGTAGGACCACAGGCCTGGCCTTGCAGGGGGCCCTGCCGATCTCTGGGCCTTGCCTCCTTCCCTTCTCCCCACTTTCCCTTGCTCTGGGCCCCAACCAGCCACCTTAGAGTTCTTTGACCCTCCCACCTCAGGGCCTATGAACATGCTTTGAAGGCTCTTTTCTCTGTCAGCCTCCCCCAAGCCCCCAGAAACTTCTATACGCACCTAAGGGTCACTCCCTCAGGGACACTCTCCTTCAACCCCAAGCTAAGTCAGGACCCGTTATTTACTCTCTGAACCCCCTTGCACTTTCCCTCCATAATGCTTGTCAGTGTATAATGACACCCCTCTGATTATTAATACCTGTCTCCCCCACCTAAGTGCTCCCAAGGCAAGGACCCTGTTTGTCTGTTTTGGTCCCTGCTACAGCCCCAGCACCCGGGACCCAGCATAAACAGTGAAAGGCACTAAGGGAGGGAGAGACACAGTATTTATTTTTAAATACTTTTGTACTACGTGATTTTTTTAAGGATAAATACACATTATATTTGAGACATAACTCACATACAATAAAATTCACCATTTTAAAGTATACAATTGAGTTGTATGCTCCTGTCCATCAGCAGTCACTTCCCATTCTCCCCTTCCTCCTCGTAAGTCCCTGGCAACCACCGTTAATCAACTCTCTGTCTCTATGGATTTGCCTTTTGGACAATTTTATATAAATTGAATCACATAATATGTGACTTTTGGTGTCTGGCTTCTTTGACTTAGCATAATGTCAAGGTTCACAGCATGTATCAGTACTTCATTCTTTTCTGTGGCTATATAAAATATACATTGTTTTTATAATAAAGACAATATTTTTTTTTACATTAAGATTTTTTTCCCTTGAAAATATATGCATTTGATCCAGAAACTCCACCTTTAGAAAGTTAAAGAAACAGAGATTTATCTACACAAGTGTTAGTCTCCATAAAACTGGAAACTATCTAAATGTCTCACAATAAAATGCTGTGGGTTTTTCTTTTTTTTTTTTTAATTCACAAAATAGACAATGGGAAGCCAGATCCTTGCTTCTCAAGCTGGGTTCTGGTTCCAGGAGGACCTCTAGGTCCCCCGAGGCCGTGAGGTTCAGGCCAGGCAGGCTGGGCCTCACAGCACACAACCTGCTCCCCCCAGACCAGACATCAGCTTTTATCTGCTGGGTATCTTGGAATTCCCCATGAAATTTCCTATGAAGAAAAGTCTCTGTGTGCTTAAAAATGTTGAATGACTACTTTATAGACCTACAAAGCAGCTGAGAATATATTTAACCAGAAAAGGCAGATTAAAAACGAGTTAGCTATTATCAGCTATACTGGAAAACAAGGGGCCACTGCACACTTCCAGTTAGGGGGTGACAGATACAAGTAGCTATTATCAGTAATCACCAAAAACTGGAAACAATCTAAATGTCCCTCACTGGAAAATAGATAAACAATCTGTGGGACACCTACAACAGTGCGGTGCCACTCAGCAGTAAAAAGGAACGAATTACAGATACACACAACAATGTGGAAGAACCTCAGACTCTGTTATGCTGAGTGAACG